CAATGAAGGAAGAGGTAGCAGTTGTACTCAGTGGAAGGAAGGACCCTCAGTTACATAAGAGGGGGGGAAAGAGCAGCATTTTCAAAATTTGGGAAGCATTTTTGAGTTTCCAGGTCCAAAGCTGAATGAAGTGTAAAGTAAAAATTTTCCAACATTCCTGACTTAGTCACAGTTGGAATGGAATAAAATTGAGGAGTGAAGAAGGAATTCCCACATTGTCAAGTTTGTTTATCACAAAAGATTCTTCATGTATAAAATCTAATGACACCAAATGTGTTGCTACTCTGTACAAAAAAATGTATAGGGTAGAAACACCAATTAGGAAAGTGGAAAGAAATAGAAATGGTTACAGAGTGGTCCCCAAATTCACAGATATCTAAAACTAAATTTGGAAAGATAATAGCTTGACTGAACTTTCATTTGAGGGTAACATCCTAGGGAGAAACCCAGAGCTACATTCTAGTTAAGGTAGAGGCAATGGATTCCAACAAAATTTATACTAGATCTCTCAAACTATAATGAATCATCTGTTGAGGCCATGATCAGAAGCTCATTGTGACTCCGAAGTTCTTTCCTTCTACATTTCCTATAGATTCTAAGGTGATTGCAATGATCCTGGTATGCCCACAGCATTTTTTGTAGCCAGGCAAAGAATGTCCCTGTGGGACAAAAAAAAAAAAAAAACGCTAGTAGACCCTACAAACCAAGATAGAAGAAGATCAACTGCCAGAATAAATGTTGCAATAATTATGTGCATATTTCTTAGGTAGTGGGGATAACACAAAAGACAAAAAATTTAAAAATTACATTTCTAACATAAAATTGCTACATTGCCAGGAAGGAGGAGTTTGAATAACCCATACAAAAAAACAGAAAATGGAAATAAAATAGTCTCCTGCTCTAGAGGGTTTTATGAAAAAACTAGGAGAGAGGCAAAATGAGGAAGAAAATAAAGAAGTCAGCAAGGAAATTTTAGAGGGGAAAATGATAAAATGCAATTCAGCATTTTTTCAGTGTGCCTGCCTTCAAACCAAAAGTGGGATGATTCCTGGTCCCCAGGTGATTGAAACAAGTAGGGACTGGAAAAAATCAGGGCAACCTGCTGTACAAATCTGTCCTGCACACCCACCAGGCCCCACCATGTGTGTGGCATCCTAAGAGTGATTTAGATCAGTGACCAAGTGTTTTTGAAAATTTGTTTTTTTCAAAGATAGTTTTATTTTTGATTATTATTATTATTATTATTATTATTATCATTATTATTATTATTATTTTGGTTCTTTGGAATGAAACCATGTCCCTTTGTGCTACAGGAATACATTCCACTCCTGTGCTAAATTCTGATAACTAATTTTTGGATCGGCCAGCATACTCAAAAAAATATGTGAAATCATGACTGTATGTGTTATGGCAGACTCATTTTTTAAACTAGAATTCCTTATGGAATTTATTCCTCAAATACTAAGAGTGTTACTAATGTGTTTATGTGACAGTCTTTTGAGTCCTGTCAATTCTGCCTGCTTTCAGATCACAGATTGCTGTGGATGACCATATCTAAATTCTTTATGCTTTCTCATATTTTTTAAGATGCAGGACCTGTATCTTCGTACACGGGTGAAAAGGGTAACCCGATATCCACTAAAACAGAGGAAGCAGGATTAGAAGATGTGCCACAGTCCCAGATGGGTATGAAAAAACAATCATGTTCATATTAGCTGTTATTCTAAATGCATATATCTGATCCTATTAGTTCAGAAAAAAAATAACTGATAAGAAATAAAGTATACCTTGCCCTGGATCTTGAGGTACAGGATACTTAGGTATAATAAATGGATTAAACAATTCATAGGTCACTTGACATATGTGCTGCCATCTGACTACTTCAGCTTTGACATTGAAATTCTCCGTATTCGTCTTTCTTTCTCTGAATACAGATCTCTGTGGTCTCCAGCATTCTGCGTCTTCACATTTGTATATGTACCCTTTCCGAATTATTTATAATGATCACAAAGGTGTTCTTACCTTTTGAAACTCAACTGCAAGACTTATTTACTAAAGATATATTGTCAATATTCATTTAGAACATTTCAGTCTTGTGATCAACAAAAATCCCCAAACTTAAAACTCCAAAGCTAATGTAATCTTTATCAATGCTAATAAAAATAGTTATCATTGGACTGAGCTCTGTACTCACTTAGTAGGAATATGAGTGTGTTTTCTTTTTATGTTCAGATTTTATTGATTATGTATTTCATTTGCTTTTCAGTATCTAAAGACGTACATGCTTTATACAAGGTAAATCATCTTCTATGTTTGTGTTATATTATTAAATGCATACAGCATGCATTTAATAATATAACACAAACATAGAAGATGATTGTGTTATATTATTAAATGCATGCTGTATGCACTGTAAAATATTTACGTATTATCTTGTCTCCAAGCACATGAAGCCTACCATTAAAAGCAAAGATACAGCTCTCAAAAAACAAAAATGGTGGAAGCAAAAAAATAAAACGGAAATCAGGTAACTTTTGCAGTACAACTTCTATAAAACTACCTATGATTAAACCTTGGAAATGATAGCAAACTTTTCACTCCTGATATATCCATTTGTGCCATGTGTTGGGAGGATTTGCCACATCAGGTCTGTGTTGGTGGTGCATCCACATTTCAAAATATTTCTGTAAATCTATGAGGAAAAGATGTTTTAAAATAACCTATATCCTAGGTGTTTCTACAATTAAACTTCCCAAATCGGAGTCATGACACTTGTCAGTTGGATTGTGAGGCTGATTTTTCTTCCCAACCCAATTTTAAAAGTAGGTCCAGGGGAGCAGGATTGAAATCCAGAATCCTGAGATGATGAGGACTTGTATTTTTTCTTGAAGCCAAGATGTCAAGGCCGGTCTGTGAAATACAAGAAAATCTAATTTAAAAGACAATGTGCACTCTACCCTGACATCTAGTGTATCAACCAAATGCATCAAACTTGTTTTTATGCTAATTAGGTACTGACTTTGACAACTCTTGTGGTCAGTTTGAGGCAAGAAATAATAAAAGGAATGATCATAGATACTTTAGTTTATCCCTTGCTTCTAAAGTGAACATTTGCTGGTGAACACTCTTTCCTGAAATTTTATCTCAGAGTAATCAATCCATAAATTATTCCACATCCCAATGGAGTCTTTGCTCATTATTCTTTGACTTGTTGTTTGTCTGTTACCTCTGTATGGTAAAAACAGAACCCAGATCCTTTTGAAGACATCCTTCATTCAGTCCTGCATCAACCCCATAGTGCACTTTTGCATTTTCTTTATTCATCTCCATTCATGATCATGCCCCTCAAGCTCATGTGCCCACAGATTTGAGATAGTTCCAGCTATATATTGATACATGGCCTAGATGAAAGTGTTAGCTCTGTGTATGTCCAACCATCTCAACATTTCGAGGCATCTTTCACAATGCAAATTCTTCCTAACTGTATGTTAGCCCGTTTCTACCTGCATGATCTTCTGGCAGTTTTCACCAATCCCTGTATCATCAGACATATACCGTCCCCCTTAACCCTTGTCTCTATGTCATGCTATAGCCTTCCACATTTTCACCATTCTCTGCCTCTGGCTGATGGCCTCACTCCTCGAGTCTCCGTTCATCCCTACCTCGA